TGTTCAACTGTTATACAGTGTAAAACTTTATTATTTTCCTAATTTATTAAATACTTTCCAGATAGTTCATTTAAAACTCTTCAAAATCAACAACTTTTTATAAATAGCGGTTTTGTAATTGAATCCTTATAATAAAAACAAAAACTTGGTTAACACCATCTAAGATGATAAACTGATAGAATTTTTCTTTTCTTAAATCTGATTTTTAAAATAAGTTAACTAAACCTCCTATTTTAGTTTGTTAAATATTTTAAATTTTATCCTGCATAATGTAAAATAAACCTGTAGCAAAATAATAAAGTTTCTTTCAATAATTTATAAGTATTTTTCCGAAGATCGTTTTTAAATACTTTAAAAAAGAATTTCAAATAACACCTTGGTATTATTTATCAATGTATTACTTATAATCAAATAAAAACTTGTGCGGACTATGGTGATTTGTTTATCGATAAAAATATCGACATAGTCCGTGCCTTACGTTGCTTACACATTCAGCCAGCGCTATCAGTGTATCGACACGTGTACGATTTGATGGTATGCGTAAACGCGATGAACACAAACACAAATGTTGTAGTGTGCGTTTATAGTGACACGATTTAATTTTGCATTTGTAGTTAAGTATACAGTTGTGTGTTTATCTTGCGCCCCCCCCCCCCCCGATGTTGACAGAATTTTTGTTTCGGAATTAACGCGCATGTCCTCTCCAGTTGGTTTATTACTCAAAGACGCATAGGCTTCAATTAAAGCGCATCGTTTTTCAACCGATTCAACCCAAGTATCGATACGAGCACTCTTAGTCTGCGCCTTTAAATATAAAGTTCTCTGTGGTATTGTGTTCATTATGTATGTATCAGCTTCTCTGTGCAGCTTAAAGGCCTTACACACCACCTATAACTTCAAACAATTAATATTTTTATTGATTGTTTGAAATTTACGTACCTACGTCAAGCCCTCTCATTTGTTTTGCAACGTTCATCGTGAGACGTACAGCACGATGGACCCTGTTGTGGGCCTTTTATACTCAATCCAGTATGTACGAATCCAAAAATTAGACCTTTGCAGTATGTTGATCTACGTTGGTTTTCAACGCTTATCAGAGCAGGCGCTCGTTGTCTCTCCCTCGTTTTCTCGGCATCGACGAAACAAGACAAAACAATAAGGTTGACGTCAAAATAGGGATGATCGATGTTACAGAAACATCGATGATGACATCGAGGTTGATATCGATAGCTTAACAGCGATGTTCGATGTTTATCCTACAAAAAACACCGATGTTGGCCATTATCGATGTTATAGCACATGTACCTATTTAGTAGGTTAAAATTAGATGAACAAAAAATGAGTAGTGTTGTTTATAGTTTATTATTAACGAAATTAAAGAAATTAATAAAACATTTAGTGTTGAACAGTAATTTGAAAAATGGGAAAAACTTAACAAATATTTAGTTAATTTGTTACATTTTTTTCGATAATGATAAATATTATTATTTTGATATTTAAATGTTCCTATACAATTATAAATCTGTTATTAAAAAAATGCTATCCTTATTTACGATTTCGACGTAGGTTTTATATTAACTACTCTTTATCACGAAATATTATATTATTATAAAGGGAAAATTAACAACCTTCACAAAAACAAAATAATAGACTTTTCCGTCACCTTTGTTCAGACAATTATTAATCAGGCAGCTCAAGCAGTAAGTATCCACAGCTGCTTATAAAATTCACTGTAGAATGCACTACGCAGTGAAATTGTCTACGCTCACGATCGCCCAGTGATTTATTTTCATAAATTTCAAGCAAATAACAAACTTGTTATCCCAAGCTCAAAAAAACAGCTAAATATAATTAAATTGTTTTTTTTTTATATATAAAAAATATTAACAATGCTATAAACATTACTAACATTCCCCTTAAACATTCGTGGTAAGCTTAAATTGCTTGTGTTACGAGTGGTTCACGACAGTAGTCAAATGGCGGTTTCGAACCCACGAGTTGAGTTCGCGGTCCGCGCCCTGCCAATAGGCTACTGTCGCTTATTGTGTAGATACATATTGTTTCACAGTTATGTGTGTATAAACAGCAAGGGAAAAAATAAATATCAATTTATTTAGAATAGTTATTAGGCGACAACCGACAACGACACCATAATAACAGCGAAGGTAGTTACAACTGTGACATTACAGTTCACACTTGACAGGTAGTTTGACACAATATAATGATATTTTTTTAGATGATCGATGCATTTAGAAATCCTTAATTATTCAAAATTTTAAACCTTTAATAGGAGATGAAACATTTAGTTGATTTCAATTTCGCGGGTTCGCATTGTTCATTCACAAGTTCTTATTAATCGATTATTGGTTCATTGACATTGATGTTTGACATGTGGCAACATGGATGTTTCGATGTTTAAGATGTGTTAACATCGATGTTAAAACGTCGATGTTACCATGAAGTTATAGATAAAGATGGAGACCACACTCTGAATACCTACTTGAAGCTTAACCTATGTATTACTATCTCGCTCTCTGTGGGCAGACCCTCTCTTTCCAAGTAGGTAACTTTTATTTTATTTTTCCAGGATATCGCTATAAGTAGTTGCATTACATGAAGTGGTTTATTTATAAATATCTACATCTCTGTTTACTACTAAGATCTAGTCTTTATAGATTATATAGCTTACTACTACTTAAATGTATTTGGTTGACATATAGGGCTAATGTTGTCACATTACCGAACCCTTTGGAACTGGGATTGTAATTCACTGATTCGTTAACCCAGTAATGCATACGAGACCTTCAATTTTGGAATTTTTAATGTAACTAAGTAAGTTCAACTATTTATTTATTGGTACATTATTTTACAGAGCTTTACTTCTGATTTGGTTAGTGTGGAAACTATTTCTAAGACTTTACCAGGAGATTTAAATAAAAACATAAAAATACTGTATTCCATATTAAAAAGAGAAGTCAGACCACAGAGAGTGAGATAAAGATACGTAGGTATTTGACTCAAGCTGTTGTTCCAAGTGTGGCCTCCATCTTTATCTATAACTTTATGGATGATACCACACCTTAACCAATGTTTGATGATCATCAAAACGTCAAAAAACATAAAACGGTTTAACCGTCTTGAATAAGAACTGGACAGTCACGAGTGGATTCCGTACGTAATGATTTTTAAACTTAAACTTTTAAACTGGTTTAAAAAATTAAAAATAAATAACAATGTAAACAACGAAAAACAACGAACTTTTACTAGTTGGTACGGCTCTTCTTTTATGCCTAGGAATCCATCTAGGTAGATACCATCCTTTGTCCTATTTCTCACGCCAAATAGCAATACTTGGACTGCTGTGTTGTTGTGTGTGTGCTGCAGTAGCCACTTATCATCAAATGGACTGTAAGTTCCTTGCCTCTTCAGTTTTATAAAGAAATGAACACGTGCACAAGCTTGTTATAGCTAAAAGAATTACAATATCTGATGATGGCGTAGACTTAGAAAATACTATCGTGTCACTAACATGTGTGCGAGCGCAAGGTAATTACATTTATGCGCGAGGGAAAGAGACAAGTAATGGTGAAACATTGTACAAAATTATTCATGCTCGACGACCAAGATAAAACATGCACGATACGGACCGTACCGCTAGTGCCCGTATTGAAACAGAACACCGTAATTTTTTAATTAAGTTCGAATCGCCCTCGCCCGACTAATAAATGTAAAAGCTTGAGCGATTGATTGCGCAATATTTTGTGGCGTTCCTTGAGGATGCCTATGTTAAGCGGTAGACTTGTAATAATGATGATTGCATGTTATTTTACTAACCTTTTTATTTATTCCCAATACGACCATTTAAATTATTAACTCATTATTTTATATCAGTTATATATCATTCTTATGTAGAATTTATCCATCCATAGATAAGACCAATTAAATGCTATTTTTTATTACTTGCGTTACTAAAAAACGTAAATGTTTACTAATGTAAAAAGTTTTGTTTATATACTCTTTGGCTACTTCGGTTACTTAGCAACCACCATTGTCAAGTTTGTTTTATGTTTTTATATTATTTATAAAGAATATAAAATACCACGTAATATTTTCATTTGCAATAATATGAACTAAAAATGTCTGCCATTCAAAAACTTTTTAAGCAAAATTGTATTGTACCAGATATAATAAATATTGCACCATCTGAAATTTTAGATGTTCAATATCCTAGTGGTGTGAAAGTTGAGATAGGAAAAGAATTAACACCTTTACAAGTTAAAGATCAACCTACAGCCAAATGGGCAGCTAAAGAAGGTGAATATTACACATTAGCAATGGTAGATCCAGATGCCCCAAGTCGTGAAAACCCAAAATTCCGAGAGTGGCACCACTGGTTAATTAGAAACATATATGGAGGAGATCTTTACAAAGGTGAAGTCCTTTCTGATTACATTGGCTCGGGACCCCCAAAAGGTACAGGATTACATCGCTACGTTTTCTTAGTGTACAAGCAACCCGAAAAATGTGATTTTTCTAAAGTACTAAAACTTCCCAACAATTCAGGTAAAAATAGGGGAAAATTTTCAATTGCGAAATTCGCTCAACATCATAAACTTGGTTCGCCAGTTGCTGGAAATTTTTATTATGCTAAGTATGATGATTATGTTCCAAAACTGTATGAACAATTAAAAGGATAATTTTTTTATTAAAATTAAAAACCGGTAAATTATTCCGGTTTTTATATCTACATACGCTCACATAAAAACGAAACTGGTTTTGTCTATGGTTTCGATCGATAATTATTTCCGCCTCCGCGTGACATTCTCATTTTTTTTGGACCAGTCGCTACTTAGTCCGCCATTACATTTTGGAGTTTGCGTAAATTGGTCGTTTCACTGTCTGCAGGCAAACACACCTAGCGGTTATCAGTGACAGTTACTTAGTGTTCGTGCGTCGTATCGCAGCATTTTGTTTAAACAAAGAGAGTTACGTTTAATCGTATGTCCATCCAGAATCTCAACACATTCGACCCATTCGCCGATGCTATCAAAAGCTCGGAAGACGACGTTCAAGATGGACTAGTCCACGTCCGGATCCAGCAGCGAAACGGGCGCAAGACTCTGACCACGGTGCAAGGCCTGTCATCGGAATATGACCTGAAGAAGATTGTGCGGGCATGCAAGAAGGAGTTCGCGTGCAACGGAACCGTCGTGGAGCACCCGGAGTACGGCGAAGTACTGCAGCTGCAGGGCGATCAACGAGAGAATATTTGCCAGTGGCTTACTAAATCGGGGCTTGTTAAGCCTGAACAACTCAAAGTGCACGGCTTTTAACTTCTCGCGTCATCAACATAACATGTTCTTTTCGTGACATCATCTAGTTCTATAGTATAATGAGATTGTGCGCATTATAACCCTAAACGAATATGTATTTAGAAAGCATCGATGTTTACAGAGATTATCGGACATGGCCTCATTGGCCCGCGCCCTGTGCCTTGCTGTCTCCCTATTGTAATATAAAGTGAATATTTTTAAATACGACACCGTCTCATCGTGTAAGACAGCTTTAGTTGCAAATTAACGCCGAACGAAATAGTAATAATCAATTTTGTTTTTCTTTTTTATTACGACATAATTATAAATTGCTGTATTAAAAAATATGATGTCTCAATTAATAATAAACATGTTTTTGTAAAAAATGTCTTGATTCATTTGCAAATCTGTTCACGTAACATGTAAGTTTTAATTGCCGATTCCTACAATTCACACAATGTATACGTATCTTTTCGCAGTATTAACCTTGCTTCACTAATAATAAAATAATACAATTGTCAGTAGGTTTATTGGCAGAAAAAGTATTGTCATGTGGACATACCGCTCCGCTCCGTTAGCATATAACGGTAAACCAAAAGGGAGTAGACAATAGTGAAAGTGGGACTTTAAAATACTAATTCTTTTCATTAAGTTGTTACAGTAACAGTTCTAATTCTATTCACGAATCTGGACACACAACTTGAAACCGATTATTTGAAAGAAGATAATTTCCACATCGTCATATAAATACAGGTACTATTTCTCTGTTACATAGGTATTATCTACGGGTATGTAGTTATTATATACGAGTGGACTTAATCTAAGAAATCACACACTCAAACTAATCTGTCTTTATTAGTTACGTTACATAGTACAAATTTTTTTATCCTTTTTTCTATCGTCCTTAGAGGTGGAGATTTTCATAATTATATATGTGGAGCAACCCCTAAAAATATAACATTGAATAAAAAAAAGAATCATAATTAGTTCACAATCGACCAAGAAATCGCGTACCTACATACAAAAAAAAACAGAACTATAGTACATAACCTATTTATTAAAAACGTATCGTAATGTACCTCTAGTACCTATAACCAGTTAAAATCAGTTTACAATAATTGAAAGATATATCGTGTTGACATATAAAAAAGTTGAGAATTTCTGTTTTAAGTCTGCTAATAACGAGCTACTATTGTTACATTCCATAAAATTTATGGGTAAATTATTGCATTAGATATAATATGTACTATATGACCATTATCTATACCGCATATTACCTAGTACCTACATACAACCAATACAACTCTAAAAAAGTTCTGTCTCTGAGTCTAAAAGCGTTCTTATCCCTCATATATGTAATCTAGTTTTCAAAAGGACGCATTTGTGATTGCTAAGAACAGTTTTCTCAGGTTTTTATCCATCGTTCGTTAGCAAAAAGTTTTAAATTTAGGAATGTTAGCTTATTATTCGTTATAAACTCGTTCGTGAGTTCCTTGACTAAAAGTTCCTGTATATACTTATACTCTTTGATTAAAAGGCAATGTGACGTTATGATCTCAGATGAAGTATTACTTCATCTGAGGTTATGATATACTCTTGCCGTAGCGCGGACTTTGACAAGGAAGCGACGGAAGTATTATGGATGGATCTATGTATGAGTCATGGCCTCGATTTAACTCTGACGACGTGTATACCTACGTGTGAAGTCAGCTACTTTAATAACGTTTTCGACAAAATTATATTAGTGAATATTATATTATGTTCAATAATTGCACCACGCATTACAATGTACTAATTAAAGTAAAATAAGCATTTATTTCACTTTCTGCTGACTTATGTAGAAAGCGCGTAGGTAGATGTATTTTTCTGTTTAATTAAAATACTAACAGATACAAAACTCATGTAATGATATTTATTAATATATGAACTCAAATTACTTCATCTGAGTAGGTATATGAAGTATGTTTCTACAAAGTCACACAAGGTTACAGAGTACCATCAAAGCTGTTTTCTTTGTTTAGAAACTCGCAACACGGAACTTAATTTTCTCTTCTTCCGCATTGCCTTTGTCCGCAGCTATATATCCTTTTGTCGTTACTTAAGTATACAAAATAATGATGCACGTGTGTTGGCTATAGTGACCGAATTTCGTCACGGTGGCTAGGCTATCCGGAGACTAGATATTTGCGCAGGATAGGATTACTTATAGTGAACGAATGCGTGTGAAAACACAGGTGCGTTCCTTATTCCCACACCATCATAGTCTGATAAGACGCCAATCATAGGCTTTATACGTGGTAGAGCCATGCTGCAGTTATATTAGTAGTATAGTTGTAGCACGAATGGGTCGGCTCGACCGGGGTAGGACCACGCTCTCACAGAATACCAGCGTAAAATAGCACCTTAATACTGCTGTGTTTCGTATGGTGAGTGTAGAGAACCGGAGACCCTTTTTACTGGAAACGAGGCATTCCATCTTAGTCCTCACGGGTGACAACGCATCCATTTTGATTTGTAATCGAGGATAGATGTAGATGTCTATGAGCCACAGCAACGACTTACCATCATGTGGACTGTGTGCTCGTTTGTCACCCCTTCCTATATAAAAAATCATTTAAGCTACCGCAGAGAAGGCAGGCGGAGGACCATTGGTCCTTGGCTTTACTTACTTTTCGAGGAACGACGCGGGGGAGAACTTTTTTACTTTACAGCAAAGTTAAATGCTATTGTGTTTAACGTGGAAAACCGGAGATCCTTTTTATTGGTAACGAAGCATCCTTAACTTTTAACTTTAACTAACTCATGGTAAGTGGATTGCCCATAGACACATCAAACCTCGACTAAGAATTATAGTGCAAATACGTTGAATCCCTAAGAGCTAGTGCAATTCCTTGTTACCAGTAAAAAAAATACTCTGATTCTCGTCACTTATCATTTGAAACACAGCAGCGACGTGCTACTATATTACGCTGGTATTATGCGACCGAGGTCGATACCAGATAATGCTGCAGCCATAATACATTGAAATGTAGCTCCACTACATGTTATATTCCTTAAAAAGAAAGTTTGCCTGCCTCAGAGTGCGTCTCGACAACGCATCTGCAGGCTTCGTTTTTTAAAGTTAGTTGCATAAGTATGTCGAAGGACTACGATAGCTATTTACTATCAGGTGGACTGTATTTAACGTCAATTTTACAAAAGAAAATTATCAACTATCATAAAATACTTCCGGAAAATTTTAAAATGCCGGCACTGCTTTTTTTTTCAAAATAAAATATTCACGTCAGCTATAGTACATACCCAGAATAGAATACTAAAACTTTTGTTTTTATACTGTGGAAGAAAGCTAAGCTGCCAGTAGTTACATTTTGTAAGTTGACGAATCTTTCTTGCCGCTGAGTTAGCCTAGACTTTTATAATACTTGGATCTCATTATTAATTTGTCATGTAATCCCTAAAATAAAGTTTACACCAACAAAATCCAATGTATCATTTAATAAAAAAAAAAAAAAACGCAACATTAGCAATCTGTTTAATATTTGGCAAAATTGTAGTAATAGTTTTTTTAGTAGTAGTAGTTTTTTTTTTAATATAGTGCCAAATTATTCGTGTGAAACCTATCTCAGTTTTTCAGTTGAGTGAAATAATACATTTTTGCAATTAAGTGTTTGGAACAGAGTAATTAGATCCTTAAAATAAAACCGGCTAAGTACGAGTCGGACTCGAGCATGAAGGGTTCCGTACCATCGTACAAGATATATTCATCATCATCATCACAGCCCTTCACAAGTCCACTGCTGAACATAGGCCTCCCCCAAGTAATGCCACAAAGCACGGTCCTGAGCCACCTGCATCCATCGACTTCCTGCATATCTTACCAGGTCGTCACTCCATCTAGTGGGGGGTCGCCCTACACTACGCCTACCGGTACGAGGCTGCCACTCGAGAACCTTTCTTCCCCTATCGGTTCTTCGAGCTATATGGCCGGCCCATTGCCACTTCAACTTACTAATCCGTTGGGCTATGTCGGTCACTCTGGTTTTACTGCGGATATCCTCATTTCTGAGTCTATCACGCAGAGAAACTCCGAGCATAGCCCTCTCCATAGCTCGCTGAGCGACCTTGAGCGTCCTCATACGGCCAGCAGTGAAGGACCACGTCTCTGATCCGTAAGTCATCACTGGCAACACGCACTGGTTGTACACTTTAGTTTTCAGAGATTGAGGTATACCTGACGAGAAGATGTGTCGTAATTTCCCGAACGCTGCCCAGCCGAGGTGAATCCGTCGATTGAGCTCTCGGTCGAAGTTGGACTTACCTAGTCGGACTATTTGTCCCAGGTAAACGTACTCGTCAACAACTTCGAGCATAGTGCTCCCAACAACTACCGGCATAGGTGTGACATGGACATTAAACATGATCTTTGTTTTGTCCATGTTCATCTTAAGACCTATCCGTTAACAAAACCGACTCCCCCCTACTGTACAAACACTTCAGCACTTCGATATACCGACAGTCAACTTGGCACCGCTGAAGGGACTGCAGCACCGCCCAAATTTCGACGGAATCAAAGGCTTTCTCATAGTCCACATACGCCAGGCAAAGTGGCAAATTGTACTCTTCAGTCTTCTGTACAATCTGCCGCAGGGTATGTATCTGGTCTATGGTACTGAAGCCTTTTCGGAAACCGGCTTGTTCGGGAGGCTGGAAGTCGTCGAGTCTGCGTGCGAGACGATTCGTAATGACTCTCGAAAACAGCACGTAGACGCGGCTCAGAAGGGAAATCGGTCTGTAGTTCTTCAAGAGAGCGTTGTCGCCTTTCTTAAAGAACAAGACCACCGCACTTCTGCTCCACGCCTCTAGAGTAGTGCCACCATGGAGGACGGAATTGAAGAGCTTCTGAAGGACTTCAAGTACCGGTGTTCCACCCGCTTTCAGAAGCTCCGCTGTAATTCCATCCTCGCCTGGGGCCCTGCCGTTTTTAAGGTGCTGGAGAGCCATTCTAATCTCGCTTAGACTGA